CAAACACCACCTCGAAGTCCATCTACGTCCACTGAGGTCTAGACTCTGACTGAACCCCTCCAGAACAGTCACCTTCTGCTGTTTAAACCATTTCTCTACGCGTCGGGTCCCCGTCTTGCTAGAGAACGAGTCCCAGGTCTCTCAGGTTGTCCTCCAGGAGTTCCATCCACTTTGCTGCATTCATTCCACCCTCCACCTCTACAAGCCTTTCAGGGCCTGCTGTCGAGAAGCATCCCCACGTCATGATGCTGCCGCCGCCGTGCTTCACCGTGGGGATGGTGTGTTCAGGGTTTGGTGTTCGCCAAACATACCGTTTAGTCTGGCGGTTGACTTCAGGATCTCAGAATCTCCCTGGTGAACCCTACTCGAGACTTAATGACTGCTTTTGTCAACAGCGGCTTTCTCGTTGCCACTCTTCCATCCAGCTCTGACTGGCAAACAACCACAACAGTTGCTGTACAACCACATTCAAAGTCTGAAGGTTGTTGCTTCTTCAGGGAAGTCATGGGTGTCTTGGTGGCTTCTGTCCCTTTTTTTTTTGCACAGTCACTCAGTTTTTTTCTGCTCTCTGCAGAGCTACACGTGGCATATATGGATGTATTTGCACTCCAAGAGATGCTCAGTGACTTGGAGATGTTCTCCTGACTTGTGCTGTTCAGTAACCTTGTCATGGATCAGCTGGAAGTGTTGTTCTGACTTCCTGGTGCAGCTGTGGTCAGGATTACTGGTTCACCACTGACTGGACTTTCCAGATGTGTGCGTCTTTACGCTGCCATCACAGAAACACGCTCGCTGCACTGAGTCGATCTCCATTTTGGTTTATATCGCGTGACTTCTACCACCGACTGGCTGCACCTGTGCTGACTATGGTGAGTCACTTTAATAGGTGAGTCACTCCTTTTGACATTTTGCGTTTTTAATTGAAATTTCTTTGTGGAATTTCAGTTTGACATGAGAGTGAGAGTCTGTTTTGTTGTTGTTGTAAATTCCTGTTAGGTTCGATTGACAATGATTCAATGTTGACAAGCAGTGAAAGGGAAACTTCCACAGAGGGACGACTACTTTTCATTAGCGCTGCATAAAGCAACCACACAGTGACTCTGATTGGTTCACATAACTTCACATCAGCAAAATGTTACTTAATGCTTCTGATTATAGCTTCGCAAGTGTTGCCTTTATAAGACTGGGCCAAGAAAAAAGTGAAATGAAGGCAGCATTTTTACAGACTGGACTTAACACATTTGCTACGGTGACTCATAAATGTCCTTTATTCTGAAGTAAATATTTACCTCACAATATGCGCTGTACTGGTATTTTTGCAGTCGTCAGCGTCTAAAGGATTCTTCATTAATTTCGGTGCTTATTAGAAACCTCCCACAGGCATTTCCAAGGAAGAGAGACCACAGCTGAGGGCATGTGAGTTTGCTCTCTAAATAAGTGGCCCTGTGAGGGTTTTTCCAGGCCTGGTGAAGAGGAGTGTGAACAGCAGCAGTTAAAATTCACCAAAAGTGCACTTCTCAGCTGTTGTTTTTACTAAATCTGACTCACGATGGACGTCTGAACTCCGTCGACGAGCCACTACGAAGCCTCTCGCTGCTTCTGAGAGCTTGAATGAGCAGAAAACTGACGACACGTAATCAAGAAAGAAATCGCAAAACACCTTACGCATCTTGAGATTGTAGCTTAGTGAGTTCTTTTTGATTTTCTGAGCAGCGCCTCTTTGCCCCTTTTAGGTCATTAAAGGTTCGTCTGCGGCTGTAATCGGGCCTCGTTTGATCCCGGCTCTATATTTGTACCACATTGTGTCTCAGTCTTGGTCAAAGCAGAATTTGACTAATCAGCTTTCCTCCTTGTTCTCTCTCTTTCTTTTCTTTTTACAGTCTAAACTCTTTTGGACGGCGTTAAATGCCAAGTATTAGAAATGTCTGCCCTTGCCCAAGCTCTTCAAAATTCCTGCGATGGTAGAACATGTTTTTGTGTGGGAGGACTGTTCTGCCAAGCAAAGCTGTTTTAGTCCTGATTCTTTTTTTTTTTTTTTTTCTCACAAGAAAATCTTGTTCTTGCACCACCAAATGCTATCTCGTGATGGGGGCAAACAAGAAAAGGACTAATAAGTAAAGGGCACAGCAGCTTTAGATTCGTCACACTCTGCGTTTAGATGCATTTTGTTAGTCACTGACGGACACACGTGACAGATTTTTTTTTTTTTTTTTATTTAAATTCATAGTCTGACAATGCAAACATTTTATTTCCAGTACGTACCGTCCCCAAAATGTGCATTTCTTGGAAGATTCCCCACGCTTCGACATGTCACTTAGAGCGAAAGACAGTGAGGGAATTGTGAAAGAGGGGGGTTCTGGGGAGCCCCTTGAGCATTTTCTCAACGCCAAAAGCCCTCGACGGCTGCCTCACCTCCTTGCAGCTGGCGTGTCGCACAAGCGTGGACGCGTGGCACAGATCTGGAAAGCACCACGAGGCGCGCGTAAACAGGCGCGACCCAGTCATCCATGTGGACTTTTGGGATGCGCTGTCTCTGGAGGATTTGGTCGAAACGCAGCGTCGTGTGTGTGGCTGCTGAAAAAAAAAAAGAGGAAGAGGGAATGCCCATAATGCACGTTTGACACACATGCACCAGGACGCGCGCCCCCCCGTCGCGCACACTTGAATCAAAGGTTGTAGAAAAAGTTCATGTGGTCTTTTTTTTTTTTATTGTGCTGCTAATAAACATTTTTTTTTTTTTTTTTTAAACACAATGTGGGCGTTTAATTTGTGTGTGAAACTATATGTGAAACCGTGAATATCCACAGATCTGTATTCAAACAGTGAATTCTCACTCTGTTATTTTTCTGGAGTTTACACCATTACCTGATGTGCTTTAACTTTCCATCAGACATGTGACTTCCAGTCTAATGCAACTTACCCAGATTCTTACCAGAAGCCACATCAGATAGAGCTAATTAGACAGACAGCCAGTCTCACAGTGTGTGTGTGTGTGTGTGTGTGTGTGTCACAGAGAGAGAGAGAGAGAGAGAGTGAAAGAGAAGGAGGAGTGACAGAAAGGGAAAGAAAAGAGGGAAGAAAGAGCCTCATTACTCATTAAGTGGTAAGCCAAGTTCTTCTCAGCACTCGTTCTGCTGCAGAGACTCGCTCTTTTTCCTCTCTCTCTCTCTCTCTCTCTCTCTCTTTCTCTCTCTCTCTGTCGGCACACACACACTTTACACCACACCACACACACACACTCAGAAACACAAAGCAGAAGTGGACAAAGACGCACGGTTTCAGTCGCCGCGGTTGGCTATGGCTCAGGGCTCTGACAGCAATGACACCAGCTACAAGTCTCCATCACCTGGAAGCAGACCGGTAAGTGCGCCTTCTCCTCCCTCCAGCACCTCCTGTTCCCGCGGAGGATCCACAGAGACGCGGATCTTGTGAATTAAACGGCAACGTCTTCCTCCCAAACCTCTGCGTAACTGCACCGCTTTTTGTGCACATTTGGTGGGCAGCATCCATCAGCAGAGGAGCGCTCGTCCTGGCTCCGTTGGCTCCTCTTCACAGCTTCTCAGGGTTTCACATGCACACATGGGCTGGAGGCATGACTCGCTGCTTCAAGTGTAGGCTTTTGTGAATTGCAAGATTCATCACTTGCCCAAGTAGTGGGAATCCTTTGTTGTGTTTTTCTTTCTTTTTGCAAGTCTGCCCACTGTGAATGATTGGAGAGCTTGTCGGGAACAGACAGTGCGTTAAATACAGCGTGTACTGTACATTTGGCTGCATGTGAGTTGCCGCCCAGCTCGCTGCCTTCACGTGTGCCAGCCTCATAGCGCGCTCTTCTCTCTGCAAAACCAAGCCTGGGGGGGTATGTTGTACATGTGTTAAAGGCCTGATGGTAACTTTAGTTCAGTGAGTTCTATCAGCAGCATCTACCGGTTTGGGGGGGTTTCTTAGTGATGCAGTTCAGAAGACTGTTACAGAATTATTGGTTATCTCTTTGATGCAGGACTGACTCAGCATTTGGATTAGTTATTGTGATACCAAGAAAATGAAGCGCTCAGGACATGAAACAGGGTGTGCGCTGCACCTAACCGAACACTGAGCCACTCCCCAACCCTGCCCTTCGCATGACAACTAATGTTAAGCTCATCTTCTGTCAAACTGTCATTAAGACGGATAACGCTTCCATTCTGACGCATAATCCCGCCACTGAGAACCACTGACAGCAGCTTCAAAGCCATCACAGAGCTTCTTGCAAATTCACTTTTTTTCTTCTTCTTCTCAGGTGCAGGAAACTCTCCTGATCGCTCGATTTGAGTTTTGTGTGGCTTTGCACTAACTGTGGCTCTTGGTCTTTTGTCAGAGCTCCTCAGACGATGTAAAGAAGGTGATGCGGAGGGAGAAGAACCGACTCGCCGCTCAGAAGAGCAGGATGAGACAAACCCAGAAAGCTGACAGCCTTCACTTGGTGAGGACACAACAAACACGACAAGCGACACACTCGTAGCTCTTTGACGCAACCAATACAACCTCAGCACATCCTGCAGTGTGTGTGTGTGTTGCTGCCATGTTGGGTACAAACACCTCCAGCAGCTTCATGCCACAAGCTGTCAGGATGCTGAAACACTTGTTTATTTAAACCGCTTTAAGTTGTTGGATCCTGATCTCTCATCTCGCCTGTGCTGCTGTGTTTGTACAGCAACATGACAATAAACCTGATTTGACTGATTTGAAATCCAAGTAGAAGATAAGATTAACTCAAAGGATACGTAAAGGTTGTCGTCGACATAGAGAGGACTGCTGTGTGTGCAGACGGAAGGCCTTCCACCTGATCAGTTTACAGTCGATTTATCAACACGACTGTCCTCTAAGCGGCCGTGCAGCCCGGAGGACTGCATGGTGCTATATTTACAGAATGCTACCTGACCATGTGGCGATGTGTCATGGCTTCTGTTGGGCTGCACACTTGGACGCCGCTCCGTGCTTGCAGAAGCTTAAGGAATAAATTAGCACGTGTGGGCAATCACTCCCTTTTGCAGCAGAATCCAGCGCCAGGGATTGCAGCGCCGCGTACAACGACAGGGAGTGTGTTCGGGCTCGCCTCTTTGTTCATTGTTGTCTTTTATTTGAGCTCGTTTTTTTGTTACGTGATGGCTGTTAGTCGCTCGGCTGTTATTTTCTGCAGCAGCAGAAGAAGAAGAAGAAAAAGATGCACCTGAGAGCGAGCTCTGCAAGCGCACACGTCTGTCGAACGCTTACAGTAAATCTACCTGCTATTTCAACACACTGACCACGCTTCCATGCACCATGTGACTTCCTCGTTCGAGAACAGAAGGCTCAGGCTCCCCGTCAGCCATCGTGTTTTTCTGTGAACTTTATCGGTTGAAGCCGAGGAAGTTTTGACCTTAACAAAAGCCGCACTTGTAGGCAGTAGTAGATCCAGAGCGACTGATAGATGTGAATCCTTCCCGTGAAATCCGGAGCACATTATCAGTCTCTTTAAAGCCTGCCAGTCACAGAGAACGCCAGGGGACCACAGAACACATTCTGCGGTTTGGCTTTCATCGTCTCAGTAGATAAACAGGAAGGTGAATTTTCCCTCTCTATGACACCGTAGCTTGTTTCCTGTTTCTTCAGTAGTATTTTTTTTTTTTTTTCTGTGTAAATGAGCTCGAGTGTTGTACGTCGTGGGCAGCAGGGGAGAAAAAAAGGCAGTCACTTCTTGTAAAGCGTTCACAGCAGTGGGCTGTATTTGGCTAAGTGACGCAAGTACAGGGGTTTGCCCAAAGGTTCTGTGACAGTAAGGCCCCACAGCTCAGCAGTATAATCTGGTGGCCACGCCGAGATGACCTTTTCATTAACCAAGTGGAAGATTTCTGCACTACCATTCCCACACAAAAACGAAAAAATCGTGTCAAGCGCTGACGTAAAGTGTGCTCTATTTGTAGTTTTTGATCAGTAAGAAAGACGTGACGCCTCGACTTGTTTTGGAAAATGTTGCACCTACAGCGTCAGAATACAAGCGTTCAGACTGTGATGCTGCTGCAGCCACACGTTGAAGCTTGAGGACAATTCTGACACCTTTTTACACGTTTTTATACTTTCAACAAAGTCGGGCACTCGGTAGATTTTTAACACCAGCTCACAAGTAGCTGAAGCCTTCGTTGGTTTTACTGTGGAAAGAAACACTCGGTCCTTTATTATAGTGGAAACGATCAACTTTTATCGACTTGCTGATTATAAAACGGCTTCTGGGAGAAAATAAATGCAGCCTGCTGGTGTTTTAAATAGTTACTCATAGTTATGGCAAAATTACTTCCAGCAGTTTTCCAAAGTGTACCAGCATCATGTTTACAGTCTAAAAAGTCATTCAGAACTTATTCCAAACACTTAATAAAAACCTCCTAACTGACTTAAATAAACCTTTTCGATTGTAAACATCATTTCCGACGGGTTGGGCTGACATGATAATGCTGATTATTGCATCAGCTTCATATTGTGTCATTTAAACTCACATTTCTTCTTTTGAAACACAATTTAAGTCGAGGTCACTTTAAAAAGAATATTTGAAAATTAAACAGAATAGAATGCTTTTTATTGTCGTCATCATACACAGAGTATAAAGGAATTAAAAGACAACTCCAGCAGTGCAAAATACAAATATAAAAAAGACAAATAAGAATATATTTATAAAAGGAGCCAGTAGGAAGTATGTAGAGTTGGGGAGAGCAAGGTAGGAGCCAAACGGTAAATAAATATAAAGTAAATAAGGAAATAAGTAAGTAAATATATTACACTGTTGAGGTAAGAACACTGTGGTTATATGAGAAATATAAATAATATAAATAATAATAGTGATATGATTGTAAATCATATATAATATATAATATTTATAGATAATTCTTAGTGTAATATGAATAATAAATATATATGATAAATAGTTCAGAATAGTGTGCATCAGCACCCATGTTGCACTTGGGTAGAACGTGTTGGTGAGCCTGGATGTGCGGGCCTGGATGGACCGGTACCGCTTCACCTTCAGATCAGGTTTTCAAGTCAGTTCCTTGAGCAACTTCATTTTTTAACTCTGCAAACTTAAAAACTGTTAATTAGGCATGCAGTTCATTTTAAATATTGTGGAAATCTCTACTCTAATTTTTAATTTTCATTGATAAAGCGACTTGTAATTGACCGTACCTTTCATTCTCTGGATTCAGTAGAGTTGTCCAACCAAGTTGTCGTATTTGTGCAACACGAACACCGACTTGCAGAGACTTGCATGAAATAATTAGTTCATCCAGTGATTACCAACAGCTTTAACCTCTTGCTCAATATTAAAGTGACTGTTATGCATTTTGAAAGCAGGACAGATCACCTGTCAACGTGATGACGCACACACCTACCGAGCTGAACGGAAAATGACGGCTTTTGCTAATTTAGAAACAAGGCAGAGTGTTCGCAGCCACGTCAGCAGCTCTGTGACGCTGCAGGACACCCCGGTGGCGCTCTGAGATAAGCGCTAAAAGTTGCAGCGCTAACGACGTTTAGCAAGTTCACCGTGTTACCTGACGTCTTGGCCCGCTCACATTTGCACAATAGCACTAAAAGCCCTCAATCTGATAGACGTTTGGTCTTAAGTCAAAGTGTGGTGTTTAAAGTCTGACCTCATGATGACGTGAGATGTCAGGAAAACCCCGGCGTTGGTACACTTAATCCCAGAGGAAAGGCATCCATTAGTTAGAATTTAAAATAAGACAAGCCTTTATTAAGTCCACAGTGGGAAAGTTTGCAGCGTTGCAGCAGCAGAGGTGATGGAGCAACAGTGAAGGTCTACAAACAACAGTATTGCACACATCAGTGGTGTCGCACAGATTCTGTCATGAATAGAAAAACTGAGAGAAGTATTTATGTTGCACAAGCTGTGATCTATATTGCACAGATTTGTTCTTAAGTGTACAAAAAAATCACAGTATTGCACTAATGTATGCCTAATAGAGGGTTCCACCTGCCTCAGGGGGTCACAACAGTAAGATCAGGTCCATGCACAGTAAAGGCAATGAGTCTTTGTTAAGTTATTTGACAGAAGTCTATCTAACAAATTAAACTTCAAAACTGGATCTTTTTTTTTTTCTTCTTCAAAAATTCTCAGTTCTTAGCGTCTAGTCGCCGGTGGTGGGCGCTGAAATGCTCCCCTATGCAGGAAAAACCCCGTCAGAAAGGTGTCATCCTCTGCAAACCACGGCTGAACAAAATGTCACGAGCCTGTAATCCTCACTTTCCTCTCAGGTGCGGTTAAACGGACCTGCTTTGAGACAATTAATCTCACGTTCCACCCAAAAAAAAAAAAGCTGTTGAACCGCCACAGCGCAGAGCTGCAGCGAGGTGCCACAACTGAAAGATCCAAGAGTAGCGCATGTCTGAACTGTTTTAGTAATAAATCAGTGAATTATGTTGGATGTAATGAACAGATGTTGCTTAGTTTGAATACAGAGTTATAGAGTTTTAATGTACAGCCGTGCTCAGATGTATCCCATTAAAGAAAAGGCAAAATCCACAGCAGTCGCTGAAATAAGTAGAAACTGAAAAAAATTATAATAAATAAAAATTTGCTAAATTATAATTTAGTGAAATAAGACATTGCTTTTGAATTGTGCTTGAAAAGAATAATTTAAAAAAATAAATAATAAACTTTCCCGGACCAATGAGAGCACTTTGCTGATGTCAGGTGCAGAAGTCTGACTGAGAGTTACAGAAAACACCTGATTGGCTCAAAGGGTTGTTCAATGAAATATTATTTCCATCATGCTTGTTTTTTTTTATATATATTTCTGTTGAACCACAATTCAAAATGATGATGATTGGACATGATCGGGTATGAATACATCAGAGGACGACTGTAAAAGTTGAACATAAAATGAAAATAATATGATTAACCTTCAGTTATTCTGAGGGAAACATTAAACTGCAGCGGCACAAACCGGTATATAAAGAGCTGCATGTTTAAAAACATAATTATTATCATTTTATGTACATTTGTATGCAATTTAAGTGAGCAGAAAGAAATACTGTATAAATAATAAAGTAGATTTTTTTGTTAAAAAAAAAGAAAAATAGATGTAATTTGGCACAATAGCTGCAAACTTACAAACTTCTTTGTACGATTTAAAAAAAAAAAAATGCACGTTTTCCTACAGTCAGTGTTTTACAGTGTAGTTAAAGCACTAAAAGATGCACAGAAACAGGATTATAATGCTGATAATGCTGGATAAGAGCTTTTTATGTTATCCAGTCTGACTTAGCACCACCTTAAAGCCCCTTCTTTTTAACTCTAAAGCATGATGGCTCTGTTTAAAGAACTTCTCCCTGTGTGCCTCCAGGAGAGCGAGAACCTGGAGAAGGAGAACGCCGCCCTGAGGAAGGAGGTGAAGCAGCTGACCGAGGAGGCCAAGTACCTGTCCTCCGTCCTGAGCAGCCACGAGCCCCTGTGCACCGGCCTGGCTCCTCAGACCCCCGACCTCCTGTACACTCCTCACCACAGCAGCTACCATCACCAGCACATCGCTGTCCCACACTACCAGCACTGACCCGGCTGACTGCTGAAGACGTGCTGCGAAAAAGAAAAAGAAAAAAAGAAAACAACAAAAAAAAACAAAACAGACGACTGACCTCAAAGGAGAGAGAGACTGACCGGAGACGTGTCGTGTTGACGATTGTTTAAAAACCCGACCCAGGAGCGACGCGACAGGCCGCCACGTCTGCCAAAAACAATGAGAGCCCGACTGTAACATGTATTCGGTATTCGAAAACTATTTATTTTGCTTTCTGCTCATCTGTTTGCTTTTTTTTTTTATTCCTGATTGATATCACGCGTGAACTTCGACGGCTTCGATGAGTAGAACTGTCCACCAGTCCGTGTTTACATCAGGAGACAGCCGAGTGTGCGTTCAGGTGACTCAGGCGATATTTTTGTAAATGGCTTATTTCTAGTGTCATGGAGAGCACCTCTGTCATCCTGTCATGTTTTTATTTTTATTGTGTGTGTGTTTCTCGTGTTTTTAATGTGTTTCAGTATGTAAATGTCGATCGATAATGCTCAGGAGCTTTTGACAGATTTGATTGTGGACAAAGAGAATGTAAAGTCAAGATTTTAAAAAAAACAACAACAAAGAAAAACGAGGCTTTTATGTACCAAATAAGAAACGGCTGGCAGTGAAGAAGAAAAGAACGGGTATTCAAAAAGGTCTTGACTTGTGTACTGGCGATGAAGCCGATGTGTGAGAAGAACCAGCAGATATTATATTTATTAAATGTGATGCCTTTTGGATGATCATTTGTGACCTGGCGGGGGTTGTTCTTCATGTGTTCGTGTGGTGCTTTGCAGTACAAGTCTGTTCATTTACACAGATTCACAACATGTGTCACGAGATCTTACAAAACTATAGAGAGGAACCCAACGAATCCAAAGAGCCTGGTCGGGGGGGAGGGTGAAGGGGAGAGAGAACAGAAACACTGACGAACAAAACGCAACCAACAGGAGGGAAAAGACACAAAGATATGATCACATGTAAATGTATGGCAGCACAACTGAGGGGTGAGTCAGTGTCGTCTGAGTCAGTTTAAACCTCAGCTTATATGCAGAGGAGGTGCTGGCCTCCTGAACCCAAACCGGGATTCCACACCAGAGGAGCCTGATGCCTGAAAGATCTGCTGCTCGTTCTGCTTTTGGAAGTACAGCTGCAGTCTGAGATCAAGGTGCTTCGTTAGGATGATACGAGCTGATAGGATAAGATGGAGCTTTGTCATTAAGATATGTGAGAGGCATGATTTGAAGTTCTGGATCTTACAGGCAGTGCGATCTCTCTGTTAGACAGTCACTGAGCCATCCTGATAACAAGGAGCTACGACAGACTAGTTTTTCAGCACCGCTCTCAGACACAACGTCCCGAATCCTGATGATAGAAGGAAGGCCGTCCCTGAGACTTGCTCTACGAAGGACACGTCCTGGTCAAAAATAACAACTCCTCACTGCGGTGCCAGAGGTCAAGGCCACGCCGTCCACAAGGACTATCTGGCTCGACTGTGTGCTTCTGAGGTGGTTTAACACAATAGCTTCAGCCGTGTCAGGCTTGAGCAGGCCTGTGAGATCTGCAGTGGTGCTGATAACAGGAACATGTGACAAACCACCTTCTGGTTGTGTGTCTCTGCTGAGGGAGGGAGTCCCTAGATGGCACTGTTCAACAGCAGGAGACACCAAGCTGCAGGAGCTGCTCATGCACTTCAGAAAAGTAACCGTGTCTGGACTTCTCTGTATGACTCTGAGTTAATATTTGTCTTTGGACACAGCTGAGACTTTTCTTTGTCACTTATTACACAGTTACGGATCCGAATAAACGACCTGGTGCCCGCGGCGCTGTGGCACTGGGCAGTAATAAAGCGATCTCATGGGTATATTTTATCATTTACATCCTAAAAATAGAGCAGAAGGGGAGATCCCGCACTTTGGAGGGCGTTACGCGCTGGAGCAACATCAGATATCGGGAGTTTTACAGGCTGTCCTGATACCGCAGACAACAGTCCGTGAAACTCCGCCCTTGAGCCGGAGTTGACCGACTTGTTTCAAGAGCCCAAAGCGCTTTTTAGGTCCGGGTTGGAGGGTCACCGCAGGCGCCACCGCACGTGTTATTTGACACTCTTGAGACCTCAAACAACCATATCCATTCATTAAATCAACCGTGACTGTAATTGTTTAACTCTGTTCGGCTGCTGAACCCACTTCAACCCGGGGAGGAAGTGAATTATTGGACCCGGGAGAGACGCACAAACTGGAAGTTGTTTCTTGTTGAACTATTTCAGATAAACACACTGAAGATCTCAAACATAACTTCTGAACTCAGCCTTTTTTTTTCTTCTTTTTTTTTGTGCGTAAAGCACACAGCTGTAGGCCGATCCGTCTTTTACGCAACACTTTAGAGAAGCGCTGGAAGTTCCTCTGTGGAGTTTCAGGGTTTTAAACTGACGTGGTTGAGTGAGAAGCTTCTGCTCCATGAGTTTACTGAGAAGAGTTGTTGAATATGAGCGAGAAACAAGCTTTGGGAGACACCAAACCGAGCGAGGACAACGGCAAAGCGGACTTTGAGAACCATGTCCATGTGGAGGCGGAGGACGCGGCGAAGCGCCCCGGAGATGAGAGCCAGCAGGACGGTTACGAGGTGCTGCAACCCACCCGGCTGTACAAACGGCGCTGGATGATCGTCCTCCTGTTCACCGCCTATTCGCTGTGCAACTCCTACCAGTGGATCCAGTACGGCATCATCAGCAACATCTTCATGAAGTTCTACGGCGTGGAAGCCTTCACCATAGACTGGATGTCTATGATCTACATGCTCACATACATTCCGTTCATCCTCCCGGTGACCTGGCTGCTGGACAAGAAGGGGCTCCGGGTCATCGCGCTCACCGGCACCGCGCTCAACTGCGCCGGGACGTGGATCAAAGTGGTCAGCGTGAAGCCCAACCTGTTCGCCGTCACCTTCCTGGGACAGTTCTCCTGCTCGCTGGCGCAGGTGTTCATCCTCGGGATGCCCTCCAAGATCGCGTCGGTGTGGTTCGGTTCGGAGGAGGTGTCCACCGCCTGCTCCATCGGAGTGTTCGGGAATCAGGTAGGCTGCGGTGCAGAGACTTCCCTCCTAGCTGATAAGTGGGTCACATTAACTCTTCACCTACTTGGTCACTCATTTGGCCTATATCCCATAGCTCCACTAATCAGCAGGACATTCCCACGTTTGTTTGGCACGTTTGCGCCGTTACGCACGTTCAGGCGACCTCTGTGCATCCACTGTGCGTCCGAGTCACAACATTGCTGGCTGAGGACGTGGGAGAGTCAACTTCAGCAGCACACAGCGAGCAGACACACAGGGAGAAGCATGAATCTACATCTAAAGGCACTATTGTTGAAATAACTTTATAATAGCTCTGTAACCTGAAAGGCATTTGTCATTCATCAGCCCCTGTTTAGATGCTTGAAGCTTTAATTAGACAGCAAACTAATACATAAGTTGTTTGAAATGATGCAAATTTGCATAAATCCCTAAAGGGAATAGAGCAGATTAGAGTTTCCAAAAAATGATGATCAGAGCAGAAACAGGGAGGAATCACATGTTGGACAAGACTGAGCACGACCAGGACGGTGTGTCTCTGAGCAAAGACAAACTGAAGTCATGCCATCATGTCAGGGCTACACTGACATGGTATGTGCTGCAGCTGTGAGCGGTTTGCACATGTGAAGCTGCTGCTCCACTGGCTCTGGTCCTGGTTTTGAGAACAGCTTTAAAAAAAAAAAAAAAAAAAGAATTGGAAAAACTGCATAATTTAGAAGGGATGTATGTGAAGCTGATGTTTCCTCTCTGATGTGTTGTGTAATAGAAAAACCACGGATGGGATCCTGGAATTTGTCCAAAAACTAACCAGGGATGCACTTAGAGACATGATGAGGAGGAAAACGTGCTGAAAGACGCACTGTTTCACATCTCTATGAGCAGAAGTTAGTTAAAAATCAGCTTCAAACCGCTTTAAATGTGACCATTTGTTCCAAGTGAGACATGCAGCGCTGTTGGGCATTTACACAGGAAACTCGTTTTCTTTAATTCTGCATGACCACACAAACAACAAATTCCTCGATTATGACTCACAACGACTTTTACAAAAAAAAAAACATACCCACACATTAACAAAAACCAAACTGTCACTGTGCTGCTGTCTATTTGTGTAAATTAGTAGCAGCAGGGCGTTTTAAAATTCACATGATCGGCCAAGACGAGAGGTCAGCAGTACGCCATTGTTGGTATTAAGCTCCCAAGTATCAGAGTTAACACTTAAAGAACAAACAACACTTGAGTCACCTTAACATCATCTCCCAGTAAATGTCACCGAAAAGTCATCGTTTAGCGCTGGAAGATTTGTAACCGGGAGCTCGAACAAAACAGATAAGAACAAACTGATGGGCTGAGGCCTTTAAATCTGCAGTTTTTGTGAATTCAAAGTTCCCAGTTGAAGCGTTTCTGTCACCCACACAGAGCCGGTGCGCCTGAACACATCGTTTCACTTCAGTTGTTTTCTCAATGATATGTGACAAACACCTCGCAGACAGATTAGGCCTCGGTTTAATTGTGTTATAGCTGATTTTATTGCTTCCCAACATGCGCGTGTATAAGTGCATTTTATCATATCACATCCTTATATCTCAGACATCACATTGCCAACGTGGCTTTATTGCCACAATATTCTCCTCACATTCACAGTGTGTGCACACGCTGAGCGAGCAGTTTTATTAAGAACTTTCTAAACAACTTAAAGCAAAGTGTGTGTCATTACATTTCCAACAGCTTGCACGCAAAACGTTGTCCTGAACAGTCGAGGTGAACGATGACAAAGACTTGGAAATATTAACCTTTTGCAGTAAACCCCCAAACTTAATATATTTAGTTATCCTTCACAGGAGGCTTTACTAAAGTTCAACTGAGGAAAATGCCTCCTTCTGTGATCTGTGTATGGTCCCCTTTACTTAACTAAAGAAGTGTTGTAAATCGGAGTTGGTAGGAGTGGTTTAGGTAGAATTGGAAGATTTTTTTTTGCATGAGCATCACATGACGGGACAGAAGGTGATAAATATGTGGACGCGCAGCTCGGAGGCTGAATATCATCACATGGGATGAGCAGCACAGAGGACAACAGTGAGACAACAGTAACTCCAGCTGCACCCAACAAGCAGTCTGCACTCGGGACTGCGAACCGCTGAGACGCCGGATCCGAACCCTTCAGACCTCTCACCTCGCACGTTCCAGGAGGCCCGCTTCGGGACGGTCGAAATGCCGCAAAACAATACTCTGAAAGGCAACCGTGAAAATCCTGAACTGGGCGCTGAAGAATGGCCGCGGTCCAAGGCTGCGAAGAATCTCTCTCCGGCCTTTGCTTCCCTGGAGTGGAGTCCAGGGCCTTTGGGCAGAAGCGTCTCCACCGGGTCACGACTGGACAGCGAGGCCTTAGGTGACCAGGCGAAGCTGGTCCCAAAGACCGAGATCAAGCTTTACCACCGCCGCTGGGTCATGCTGTTCCTCTTCAGCGCCGTCTCAGCCAGCAATGCCTTCATGTGGCTCCAGTACGGCATCATAAGCAACATATTCATGCGCTTCTACAACATCGACTCCCTGGCAATCGACTGGTTGGCCATGATCTACCTGCTCACTTACATTCCTCTGATTATGCCCATCCTCTGGCTCCTGGACAACAGGGGCATCCGGGACGTTGTCCTCGTTGGGTCAGCCTTCAACTGCATTGGGGCTTGGATTAAAATCGGCAGCGTGGATCCCAACATGTTCGCCGTCACCTTTCTCGGCCAGTTTGTGTGCTCGGTAGCGACTGTGTTTGTCCTCGGTATCCCTTCTTACCTCGCTTCGGTGTGGTTCGGAGAGGAAGAGGTGTCCACTGCTTGTTCCATAGGAGTTCTGGGAAACCAGGTTTGTGTGAAATATGGGTTTATTCAGCCCCAGCTCCAGCTGAGTCTGCACAGCGAGCCGAGAGCCGTCTGACAGCTGTCTGTAGATTGTGCTGTAGATTGTGCGGGGCCGGACTGCATGCCAGAGTCACACAGGACTCCTGGTGTCTTGGTGTGAGAGTCCAGAGACAATTGTGTTAACTGTTTGTTGAAACCTTCTCATTGTGCTTCAGTTTGGAGGCTTAAATGCAAAAGATAAAACCTTAATTCCCATTCATAAGCGTTGTGCTGAATCAGCCAGATGGCACAGATGTTGATTCAGAAGTAATCAGAGTATATGTGAGATGCTTTTCAGTTGGGCCAGAAAGTCTCATCTGATACGTTTGACTTGGATTCAGGTCAATGATACAGAAGCACAACTTGTTCTAATTTCAGATCACTTACTGTATAATTAATGTTTGACAACCAGGAGAATCTTCATATCATGCACTGTTAACAACACGTCTCCCCTTTACTTATGTATGTCAGCTGGTTCCACAAGTTGCACTTTGAATGCACGTTTAAACCAACAACAAATGAATAATGGGATTATGAAACGAGCATCTTTTATATATTCAGTCAAAATGTTCAAGACTTGAGGAAAACTGGCGACTGCAAGGTTATAAGACTGCTTTTTAGTGTTTAATTTGGTGTATAGTGATATTTGCATTCACTTCTGAAGAGTTTTGTGTCCTCTGTGCTCCTTGTCACGCAGCTCGGTTGTGCCATCGGGTTCCTCCTGCCTCCAATCCTGGTGCCAAACGTGGACGACATGGATGAGCTGGCTCATCACATCAGGATCATGTTCTACATAACAGCAGGCGTGGCCACAACACTCTTCATCCTCGTTGTCTTTGGTAAGATACAACCATCCATCCATTTTCTATACACCGCTTAATCCTCATTAGGGTCGCGGGAGGGCTGGAGTCTATCCCAGCCGACTTAGGGCGAAGGCAGGGGACACACTGGACAGGTAACCAGTCCATCGCAGGGCTAAGATAGAACCATCCACCCGAATCACAAAGCTAATATTTTCTCACCGAGTTCTCGCGGCTTCTAGAGCTGTAGGGTCCAGGTCGACGGGTCGAGGGTTGGTCGGTGTGCTCCAATCTGATTCTCATTCGACCAACAATTGTCAGTGTTGCTTTCACAAGCAGTAAAGTTCTGCTTACAGAGCCCTTAAGCTAGCGATTCTAAGCAGTTTTAATCGAATTCAATACATCCGTCCTCATGATGTCGTCTGTACAGTCTGACAAGAAATCCAGCATTCAATCCAAGTAAAGCTACGACACTATTCGTGCACAATCAAGCCGGTGTACATTTGTGCACAAGACGGGTGGAAAGAGGGCAGTGGGATCAAGAGGGACGCCAAATCTGACACATATGTTACTAGCTAAATATCAGAGGGCGACTCCATCTTAAATCATCATTTTTTAAACAGTTTCTGCTCTTTTGTGCTTGAATATTTTATAACATAAAACATGGATTCTCATAAAGACATTTGTGTAATTTTAGTTTAATATATCAAATGCTTTCCGAGATAAAATGTTCTCAAAAAAAATTTCATGTGGACCCACTTTTTTTTAAAGATTTAAAAGTTGTAGGACGATAATATGTCAGGAACGATCAAAAAGCCAGAAGTGTTTGGGATCAGTCAACAGGTCCAACACCAGAGAAGAACATTCTGTCATTTCATTGCTTCTTACAAACTGCTAACATGGACGTAGACGCAGAGGCTTTAGCGTGCAGCAATGCAGAGTTATGTTGTAGACGGTGGAACCCTAAACAAACATAGATATCTGCTGTTATTGTTGTTTCAGGAGCAGCTCAGTACTTACAGCAACAATGGATGTATGTGAACATGGTACACATTAACTGTAGTTTCTAAAAATGTTTGAGTGACCTGAAAGGCTCTTTGCATGTGGATGAGAGGCCCAAACTTAGAGGAAGATGTTTGTCTTGTAAAATATTCCTGTTAATGTGGACAACCGCCAAGATGGACTCAACTTATGGGATGTTTGTAGCCCCTGAAATTGTTTGATTTGAACAGTTTTTTAGGGGCCTGAAGATATAAAACTGTCGTGTTTTTGTTGTGTCAGTGATTTAGAATCTGCATCATTGGTAAGTTCCCTCTTTGAGAAGACTTTAACAGAAGACTCGATGATGCAGAAGTCAGCTCGTGATAGATGTATTATATAAGATAAGCTCACAGGTGCCTCGTGTGATTATCTGTTGTTTATGATTCAAGCAAATCAGAGAAATTTGAGCAAAGGGCACTCGATGATTTGAGATAAAATAACTCCATAATCGTTTTTTCAGAATCACCTTTAATCGGTTGTTGTGGGCAGCGGGAATATCAGATTAGCTCATAGCTTTAAACTAACCGACGTCTGACTTATTTAATGTCTGCTCAACGTTTACTCGGAGCAGAAGTGACACCATGTGATAGAAGTTGTAGGTGTGGCTGCATTTTGTTAGAACGAGAGGCTGAAAAGTTAAAACTTTGCAAACAGCAGGTTGGATGTCAGAACTCAGCTACCAGCAAACATTCGGCTACGTGTTGTATTTCTCATTAGTCCTCATGCTGGGACCACTTCAATCCTGTTTCATTCATATTAATATGAGCAGGAGCACACAAATCTGGTGTCAGCTGTTCAGGTTACAAGGGTTTAAAATGCTGCAAACACCAGCTTTTTATGCTTATTCATATTTTATTGAGGCTAATACGGCGCCCAACGGCCGCGATGGTGTCATGGTGTGTTAGGAAAATTCCTCAGTGGAGTCCCAACTGCTACAAATCAGTACACTGAGTCGTCTCTTACGCCAAAGCAAAGGAGCAACATGTACAGCACAGAGTCTGAACAAGTGACTAAAAGCATGAAGCGTTGGTTCTGATATACAGAAAACAGAAGACAGCCTCCGTAAATGTGTGTGTGCAGGCATGACTTCACTACCCGCTAAAGACGTCTTATCCTTTTCTCACAGGTGAAATAGAGGCAATGAACATTTACAGCATTCTCATACTTTTCACAAAGATCATTGGATCATAACATAGAATTATTCTGACACTATGCACACGGATGATTTTGGTTTTATGAACCATCTCTTCACCTGCTGCACGTTGTCTCAGGCTCCATCGGGGCAGTTTCTCTGCTTCAAAGCGGTTCCAAAGAAAAACAAAAGTGTGTTTTTCAGCGTTCCTCCAGTATTTCTAATTCTGCCTTTTACAGAATAAAAGAAACTCAGTTTACCGTCATCATATTGGGGAAAGAGGATGTCTCAAAACATCTGCACATTAACCCGAAACTTCCTGCATGGCCAGGTGCCGTGTAATTTGTGTGTTTTTTTGCAGTTTCGGCTGCATTTACATGAAATCTGCATTAAATGGAAGCTGATTTTACTGTAACCAGGAGTTTTTGTGAATGAACGAACAAAGCGGAGGTCAATGAAGCAGTCAGGTGTCTGAAGTTTCAGTCGTCGCTGCTGCAGCTGCTGAGCTTTTCCCACATTTTATTCTTTCCCTCGTGTTGCTCTGAAGCGCTCTGGCTTTTTGATGTGTGCTGTGTGGGCCTTTTCTCGTTTCGACCGAAGGGAGTTTCTTATTCACGGGATCCACACGAAGGTGGTTTTAATTTACATCAGACTTACAGTTTAACAAGAGGCACCATTCAGCCGGCACAGAGAAGAAAAAAAAGTGCCCATCTGCATGTTGGTACCAACAAAAAACTTTCCCTGAAGGGGAGCCTGACAAACAAGATACTGTTGTAGTGCAAGTAAGGTCAGGAGAAGAGCCTGGCCTCGAGAGGAACTCAGTGCTTCCACGCATTCAAATCAGCTGCTCATCTCTTTGGTGAAGTCAGTGTTTGCTACAGACGCATCAGAAATAGAGGAATAAAATGACTTATGATCACTAAAGGACTCAGCACTTTGTGTTCGAGGGAAGCGGTGCGACTTGACGCAACAAAGAGGATGTGAGTGGTGAGGAGAAGTGCTTAGCTGGAGTCTTTTAAATGTCTGCAGAAACCAGAGGTGTGACTCTTTGTCCTATAGTTACCCCAAACAGCCCCTCATGTTCCTAAATGGATGTTTAGCGCCTCATATGTAGCAATCTGATTTTAGTTTCATCCTATTTTTACAGGTGGGAAAACTAGATTTCTATCCTGTGCTGTTTAGAGAGGAGGTAAATAAAATAATACAAGTGTTCATTTAGAATAGAACAGATGGTAAACCATGCTGTGGAAAACTCTGGATTGTTGGTTTATAATTCGTACCTTACTACGTTAAAATGAGAAGACATACGCTGTGGCTGGGCGCTGTGTAAATAAAACTGAATTGAATCGTGGAGAACAGTGGCCGGCTAAGAGGAGTCAGATCCATGAACACGCTGTTGTCCTCTGGGGGCAGCGGGAGGGTCGGGGCGCCCGTGAGCATTCTGCATTCCTAAACACAAAAGGATGCTTGTGAAGGCATTTCCTCGTACTACCAAGCACAGCGCGGAGGCTGACTGCACTGTTCACGTCTTCACTATAGTGTCTCCTGCTGTTCATAAAGCAGCAGCCTCGCATGCCGACGTCAGCGCTTTGTCTGCTCATGTGACGATCGGGACGCTTTCATTCTGGCACGTTTACTATCGTGAGATCAGTTCATCGTTGATTTTAGTTGTTTCATATCTGCTAAAGGTGGCTCGGTGGTTAGCACTGTTGCCTCACAGCTAGAAGGTCACTGGTTTGCATCCCGGTGAGGACACCCAGGATCTTTCTCCATGTTCTCCCCGTGCAGCGTGGGTTCTCTCCGGGTTCTCTGGCTTCCTCCCACAGTCCAGAAATATGCTGAGGTTAATTGGTGATTCTAAATTGTCCGTAGGTGTGAATGTCCATCCATTATCTCTACACCTTAATCCTCACCAGGGTCATGGGGGGCTGGAGTCTATCCCAGCTGACTCAGGGTGA